AGAGAGAGAGAGAGAGAGAGAGAGAGAGAGAGAGAGAGAGAGAGAGAGAGAATGAATGATATTGCCAGTCCGATTTTTAAATCTGATTCAATCATGCTCACCCGACTTGTCAGACAATGCCACACTTCACTTAACGGGACTCAATCGGCCGATTAAATCGGCTAATGACTCCGAAGAGGTCACACTAAAGGCTTGCGTTGTTCTACCTCACCACACAGCCAGGTTCTGGTAACGGAAGAGTTGAATCCTTACTTTGCTTTACGAGAACAAAAGCAGGGAGAGGATTATCGTTCTCAGTGGATATCACTTTCGATTTGATCCGGAATTTTGGGTTTTTGGGCGGTTTTTGGAGTGGTTCGTCCCGTAGAAATAAAAAACAATAAAGGAAAAGACAACTTTATTAAAGGTATGACGAAAAGTTTGTTGCGTGTGTTTCTATTCATCAACTTAACATAGAATTTTTCTAATCGACTTCACTGACAATGCTCTTGATTTCTTCACTTCCATGGCAGAGTAAATATTTCTTTTATTCGGTGTGTAACCACACTTTCTAAGAAGTTAAATACCTTTCATACTGACATGGAAAAACGGAGGCCTCTCCTTTTAACTTATTTTAGTGGAATCCTAACAAAGTTTTAATTTTGCTCATTTCTATTGCGTGCGTATAACATTTTGTGGACTGAATACATCTGAGATTCTTGGGGGCAGTGCAAATATTTGCAATTTTAGAACGAGATTGGAGATGTATTCCTCGCTAATAAGACCTTGCTATCGATAGGACAAACACACGCGCTAACTGTACCCAAACAATGTATTATTATGACATGGGAAGACAATTTGGATTGGGTGGAAGGGGGGGGGGGATCGATTTCACGTAATCTAGTTGGTATGTCTTGTGTACCTTCCGATTTGTTTATCTTCTTTCCTGTTGTTGTTTTTTTAAACTATTGGCTCTGTACGTTCAACGTGTACGTGTGTGTGTGTGTGTGTGTATGTGTGTGTGTGTCTCTGTGTGTTTGTGTGTGTGTGTGTGTGTGTGTGTGTGTGCATCCCCCTCACCCCCCACACACACTTTACCCCAAATCCCCAAATCTAATAAAACACAGAAACTGCAATAATGAAAGCAGAAACATAATAACGACTGACACAAGCAAAATATATTCGAGCCAGCTACACAAAAATAAGGCGAGCAAAAAAAACCATACGTAACAAACAACAATGGAACAAGACACCCCCACCCCTATTTCCTCCCCTAAAAAGTAAACAAATAAGCAAACAAATAAAATCCCCATTTATGTGCTGGCCAATAACGCATTCAACGCAACTAAACAATTTCATCGATTTTTTGCGAACCTTTTTACTCTTTCTCCACCTGTTTCTCTATATTACATCTCTTTCTCATTCTGTCCCCCCCCCTCTCTCTCTCTCTCTCTCTCTCTCTCTCTCTCTCTCTCTCTCGCTTTCTTTTTGTCCCATCCTCCCCATTCTTCACCGTACACATGCAACATTCTCATCCTGACCCCCATAAGCCCCGCCCCCGACCTTGACCTAACCAGAGAGCCGTTGAATGGACTCCTCATCTCTCCAGATCAGAAGCGGCTTCGATCCATTTAACAGTTTAAAGCTTTTAAGATTCTCTGTGTGTACACTAAAGAATGGCCTCGTCCATTAAATAGCGATAATGGACAACTTTTTCAAGGCTTGTTAATGGGGAATGAATGCATGTAAGTGTGTGTGATTGTGTGTGTTTTGTGTGTGTTTTGTGTGTGTGTGTGTCTCTGTGTGTTTGTGTGTCTGTGTGTGTGTTAGAGAGAGAGAAAGACAAGCAGAGAGAGGGGGGGGAGGGGGAGAGTATGTGTGTGTGTGTGTGTGTGTGTGTGTGTGTGTGTGTGTTTGTGTGTGTGTGTATATATGTGTGTGTGTGTTTATGTGTGTGTTAGTGTGTGTGTGTGTGTGTGTGTGTGTGTGTGTGTGTGTGTGTGTGTGTGTGTGTGTACGTGCACTCATGTAGTCGTGTGTCATCAGTTAGGTCACTTGAATTATGATCTCTCCACCACTACCGTTGATTCTTTCAGTGGCATAATACTGTACTTCTGAGAAAGACAGAAGGAGGAATAAGAGAGAAAATGAAAGAGAGAACGAGAGACAGAGAAAGACAGAGAGCGTGAGAAAGAGAGAGAGACAGAGAAAGGGAGAGAGGGATAGGGAGAGGGAGAGGGGGAGGGAAGAGGGAGAGAGAGAGAGAGAGAGA